CTAGTTTGATTATTGGCAACTTTGAAGCTCTAATGTCCTGTTACCAGGTAGTTAGGTACGTTACTAGGTATGTGAGCTCAGGAGTCTGCCCACTCCTCCTGTATGGATTCAGCTCAGGTGCCCAGGTAGATAGCCACCAAGTGTGTGGTACAGGACTCTCATCTACAGTCCCAGACAGGCATGGGTGATTGGTGTAGGCACAGGCATCTGGATGCAGCAGGGGGACACACTCTGAGCAAGGCAGGGGTATGACGGCTGCTCCCAAGTGTTCACGAAGACGTGTCCCTGTTCCCTAGAGTGCATAGGTGGGTGGATTTTGCAGCCGGACTATGAGCACCCAATGCTGTTGGCTGTAAGGACTGGGGACACTTCTTATCTTGGGCCCATATTGCAGGTGGCTAGGTGGCATAGTTGGAGCCAGCAGTCCTCAGGCTCCTGATGTAGATAGGTGAAGACCCTGCTTAATGGGCAGAGCAGTGGCATATGTCACTAACCTGCCAATTCACAGCTGAAACAGTTGAAGTTAGACTTCAGGTATATACCCTTCTGTACTTCGATAATGAGGGCCTATGCTGTTGAAATGGGCCCACACAAGTTTCTTCAGGGGGAAAGGCACTCAAAGTCCATGGATCCATTATCCCTATGCCTAAGCAAAGGAGCTGTGCCTACCCTGGGTTCCTGGCTTAGGGGAGTCAGCAGTTTTTTGTTTTTCTCCCCTATTTGTTAATTTGTTCACTCTCCAAGGCCAGGAGAATGGCTCAGGGCATGTGACAGATCCTACTTCCCGCCCAGGGGACTCGGCAATTGCTGAAGCTGGTCTGGGACCCAGCGCAGAGCAGGGAGTGGGGAGGTAAATGGGAGAGAGGTTTCTCCCTAAGGGGGGTGTTTTTGTTCTGCATGGTAAACTGCAGGCAATTACTTATCTTTCACTGATCAAGGGCTGCTTCTCACTGGTTTTGGGTGGTTGAGTAGACTTTCTGCCTCTGAGTCTCCCCTGGTGCGGAATACGCCTCCCGAGCATGGCTGCTTGCCTGCTTCACTGCTCACCCCTGTGCTGATCAGGCCTGAAGGCTCAGGCTCTCGCCAGGTTAGGTCTGGCAACTCTTCGCTGCTTCTCAACCGTCTCTCCCTCCCTCTGCCACTCAGTCTGATTCCTCAACTTTGCCTTTGATGTTCAGGGCTCCTAAAGTGTCATCTATAATCAATTCACTTGTTTTTCTGGTCTTTGTTGTAAGAGGGTCCACCGGAAGCATCTGACTACTCCACCATCTTGGCCCTCCTCCGAATATATCAAAATTTATCTGTTCTATTGTTGATGATAATTTAGATTGTTTCCAGTTTGTGGCTGGAAGAATAAAAAGTTCTGCTTTGAATGTATTTATAGTTTAATCCTGGTGCAAAAATACACAATTTTCAAAAAGCTCCATTTTTGAAAGGTACTTTTGTTGGATGTAGGTGGCACAAATGTTTTACGCTTGATTGTTAACCTAAAGGTTGCTGGTTATAAAAATGGCATAGTGAAGATGAAGGCATCTGATTTCATCTAACTTCACAAGGAGGAGAGAGAATTACCATCAGCATCAACAGCCCAAGGCTGATTGCTGTTAGGTGGAGGTCAGACTTGCCTCCACCTTCCAATCTTGCTACCAATTCTGACATGAGCCGTCTCTCCTGTGGCACTCTCTACGTCTCTGCTGGATTTGGTAATTTGTTTCAGTGGCCACACTGACTCACAAATTGTACTTACAGTTATGAAGTTTATTAGGGAAGTAACAGGTTACAATTCAGGATACAGTTCTTCAATCAGGACAACTTCTTCTCAGCTGTGCCTGTAGGCAGGCCTCTCTCTGACCTCTGGCCCCTCAGCCCCTTGGGTCTCTTGGGCTGGCCTGGCCTCTGACCTGTTCGGGCAAGTGTTAGAGAGCTCTTTAGCTCCACTGATAAGTGTCTAGAGGCACCCCACTCCATCAGTAAGCCTCGACCTGAAGATGCTCAACTCTCTAGCTCCATGGGTCAGCAAGCCTAGCTCTGCCAAGTGCCTAGAGTCACCTCACTCTGCCAGCAAGCCTCCTACCTGACGATGCTCAGCTTTCTCATTCCAGTGGCCAGGAAGGCCACTGCACCATCTCTTTCTGGTCTCCTGGTGTGCTGCTGCTGGTTCTCTGCCACTCTCTCCGCTGCTTCTTGCCATCTTGCGCTGTCTCCATTGTTACAGCTCTCTGTCTCCTGGGTCTAGGAGATTCTCAGTATAGGGTCCCTAGGTCCAAAGAATGCCCTCTGCTCCCAGCTCTTCTTTCTTGGTGGTAGTGGAGTTCCCCCTTCTGCTCTGGAATTTGTTCTCTTTTAAGCCTAGCAGAATGGCAAAACTGACCAGTCCCCTTGTTAGGTTTCCATACTCTTTATTTGCATGGTACCACCCCCACAGGGGTTCCATGTACCTTATTTGCATTATTAGCAAGCTTTCCAGTCCCCTTGGTAGGCCACAAGGACCTTATTCATAATCCCACTCAGTCATTGTGTGGGAGTCACAAAGACTGTGGCTAGAAGGGCCATATTAAGTAATTCACTGCACCGCACTGGTTTGAGCCCACCCAGTGGTAACTTGAAAACAAAGTTCTGACTATCAGCCAAGAAAACCCTAAGGAGCAGTTCTACTCTGTAACACATGGGGTCATCATGAGTCAGAATCGACTTGACGGCAACTAACAACAACAGCAGAATTCCAGTTTGGCAGTTGTTTTCTTTCAGAATTTTGAAGATACACTTCTGCTGATTTCCGGCTTCCACTGTTTTTCTCTGGTTTTATGTTTTCCTTTTAACTTTGGTCTATGAATTCCTGACCATCTTTCCAGTTCTTTCATGTTTTTTTTTTTTTTTAAAACACTTTGTACGTGTATCTGTTCCAATAAAACTTTATTTACAAGAATAGTTTGTGGGCTGGATTGGCCAACCACCTCTCTTTCCCCAGATATTTGCATGATTCATTCATTATGAAAACACTCTTATGAAAGTTTTAAGTTAGTTTATCTAGCATTTTAAATTGTTTTTAGCAGGAAGATTACCACAAATAACAGAGCCCACTGTTACCAGAAACTAGAAGTCAATATTGTTGAATTATATGTGGAAATGGGGCAACTGATTCTTTTCCATGCCTAGGACTTCTGAAGTTCTTAATATCATCAGCTCTGTTACTTATTATTCAGTCATTTGTAGGTTGTTTACCAGAATGTTAACTAATAAAGAGGAATGTCCTGGATCTATTGTCCTTTTTTCCTTATATCTTCTTTCTTGAGCAAATCTCCTGAAACTAAGATTTTATAACATTTCTCTGTGGATGACACTTAGTATTTCAAAATGTTCAAAATCCCATCTTATCTGAGTTGTATGCTTAATGTATTTAAAAATAATAATATTTTATTGTGTTTTTGGTGAAAGTTTACACAGCAAATTAGGTTTCCATTTGACAATTTCTACACAAATTGTTCAGTGACATTAGTTACATTTATCAAACTGTGTCAACATTCTCTTTAATTTTGTTCTGGTTGTTCCGTTTCCAGTACTCTAATTTCCCTACCTGCTTGTCTTCTCATTTTTGCTTTAGAGTAATTTCTGACGTTTTGGTCTCATATAGGTGGTTTTTTAATGGCGCACCATAACCATGGACATTATCCTTTATTTTGTGTGCAGATCTGTTATTTCACCAAAAGGTGACCTTAGGGGATAGTTTTGGTTCATGGTTTAAAGAGTATTTCAGGGTGATAGTCTCAACTGGTTCTGTAAGTCTGGACTTTTTAAGAATTTGAGTTCTGTTCCATGTTTTTTCTCATTCTATCAGGGTCCATCTGTTGTGGCCCTGATCACAACCGTTGGTAGTGGTAGCCAGGCACCATCTAGTTCTTCTGGTCTCAGGGTAGATGAGGCAGTGGCTCGAGTAGGCTATTAGCCCTGTAGCTAGTTTCTTCACTGAGACTTAGGTTTCCTTCTTTCTATTTTGTTCCTAATGAGTAGAGATCGATAGTTTTATCTTAGATGGCTGCTTGCAAGCTTTTAAGACCTCAGACGCTACTCACTTCACTAGGATGCAGAACATGAACTTTGTGTTGCCAATTGACTGAGTGATTCCATGAGGCTAAGGTTTACTTAATGTCTTCTTAGTGGAAAAAGAAATGTTGGATCAACCTTAATAGCTACAGACTATTATACCCATTAAAAAGTTCCGAGTTATTGTGTGGCCTTATGAAGAGATACTTTTTTTTTTTTTAATGAGTTTATGAAGACTGGGCCTTACATTTTGTTTATTTCTTTAATATATTCTAAACAATATAGCTCTGAAAGTCAGAAAATAATTCAGGAGCTCAGGGTTCAGTAAACTGAATTTAAGTGCTACTGGTTTGTTGTTTGACCTTGTTAGATGTTTAATCATTCTAGGCCCTTAAACAAATAAAGGAAATAAAATAACTCCAAAGTAACGTGGCTGGTATACATACATTTCTTGAAAGGGTCACCAACCTTGTGACATTTCAATAAAAGACACAAACTTTTGCCTTGTCCAGAAAAGTATATATATGTACAGATAAGGAAACTTTGCACACCATTTCATGGGCCCCTTGAAGATCTCACACAGACTATACACCCCCATCCTCACCTCACCGAACAGGCCAGGGTCTGTACTTCAGAGAGATCCTTGTCCATATCTTTCCTTTAGAGAAATATTCTACCAAGGGGGCAAGGGCAAGATTTCCATTTCTATCCAGTTCCCCCTCGACCCCGACCCTACCCCACCATGATTTTGGATATCACTGCCCACTATTTTGACCCCAAGGAAAAATTTGTGAATGTGTGTGGATTCTGGAAAATTCAAAGTCGTTGCGGTCAATGGAGCTCAAGTCGTTTGTCTACAGATTAGGGGTGGGGGGTGAAGTGAATGTTACCATTTTTATATGTAAAGGAAAATACATTATTGGAATTGTAACCAAATAGTCTTTCTTTTTTTCTTGAAGCTGTTTCCTCTGCCTCTCCTCTACGTTGGAAACCACATAACTGGATTATCAAGCACAAGTAAATTAAGGTAGAGTACAGGATAGTGGTTGATAGGAGGTTCTCCATTTATTTGCTTGTAATAGTACAAAGACCAAGTTTGGTTTCTCAAGATACTTCTTGGGTTACATATAAAAACCAAAACCAAACCCACTGCTGTCGAGTCGATTCCAACTCAGTGACCCTATAGGACAGAGTAGAACTACCAGATAGGGTTTCCAAGGAGTAACTGGTGGATTCGAACTACCAATCTTTTTGGTTATCAGCTGAGCTCTTAACCACTGTACCACCAGGGCTCCAGGTTACAAAGAGAAGAAAGTATTATTTAGTAATTTCAGAAAATAAGGTAGAACTTTCAGTTTAATTTGCTAATTTTTTTTAAGTATTTGAAAAGGTTATATGTATTTTTCTTTGTATTCAAGTCTGAACATAGAATATGAGGTTTGTAGACATCAAGGTAGGGAAGATCTAGTTTATCCAGGAAGATCTATCCACATGAGCATTTTGTTTAGGCATTGCAAAATGGTGACTTTCTAGTAATATTATTCCTTCTGCATTTATTGTCTAAAATTCTTCAATAAAGACAAACTTTCACTGTTTCACACAGGAAAGCCAGGATAAAAAGGCAAGATAAATGCTTTATTTATAAACGTTCAGAGTAATAGTGTCCTGTCCTCTTCAGTAGTGACCAGGGAGGGTTGTTTTTTGTTTTTTACTTTTTTGCTATCATTATTAATTCATGGATTTTTTGCTTACTTCATAGTTTTCAATTCATTATAGAAATAATTTTTTTAAATTGTGGTTATATATATATGTATAACAAAACATTTGATGTTTTGACTTTTTTATGTGCCCAGTTCAGTGACATTAATTATGCTCATCATATTGTGCAACTATCACCACTATCAGTTGCCAGATTTTCCATCACCCTTAAAGAAACTCAGTGCCCCCTAAGCAATAACTCCTCTCTCCCCCCCCCCACCCTTGCTAACCACTAATGAGCTTTGGACTCTATACATTTGCCTATTCTAGATATTTCATGTAAGTGGGATCATACAGAATTTGTCCTTTTGTGACTGACTGATTTCACTCAGCATAATGTAGAAATAATTCTTTTGATGCTCAAATCATCCCATATCAGGCCAGTGGAACCCTTCAAGTTGGCTCCTATGTCCTGTGGACCCTGTTAAATTTGAGATGTCTGTTAAACTGAACATCCAAGTGGAATGTTGAATAAGCAGTTAGATATTCTAGTCTGGAGTTCAGGGAGAGGCTATGGATAGAGGTATACATTTGGGAGCCAGTAGCATACAGACTGAATGAGAGTAGGTAGAAAAGAAGACAGATATAAGGATTGAGCCTCAGCCACTAGTGTTAAGAGGGCTGGGAGAAGAGGAAATAGTAGTTGAGAATAAGGAGTAGCCAGTGAGAAAGAAGGAAAACCAACTAAATATGATGTCCCAGAAGCCAAGGAAGAGGAAGTGATCATCTTAGGTCATCAGATGTTTCTGAGAGGTCAAGTAATATGGGAACTGAGAACGGTCCATTGGGTTTGGCAACATGGAGGTCATTGGTGACCTTGACGAGAGCAGTTTCAGAGGAGTGGTGTGAGGGGAAGGTCTGTTTGGAGCAAGTTTAAGAGGGAATGGGAGGAGAGGAATTGGAGAGTTGAATCCTGGGAGGCGTTGAAGACCCGCCTGAAGTTTGTGGTCCTGATGCCCTCAAGAAATAGTAGGTGATGAAGAAGAGTCCCTGGGTAGCACAGATGGTTAAGTGCTGGACTACTAACTGAAAGACTGGCAATTCAAACCCACCCAGAGGCACCTCCGAAGTAAGGCCTTGTGATCTGCTTCTGAAAGGTCACAGCCTTGAAAACCCTATGGAGCAGTTCTATTTTGAAAACAGGGGGTCTTCATGAGTTGGAATCGATAGGACAGTAACTAACTAACAACAACAACAGCGAATGGAAGACTTATGGACAAATAGTACCGTAACAGATTACCTAGCCATCAGGGAATTCAGAATCAGATAGAGTGAGGGCCTGAAGGAGTCAGGGAATGGTCAGTATGGGGAGACAGAAGAGAGTGGCTGGCTTGCAGGAAAGACTCCATCAGGGATGTTATAACTGAGCTGAGTCTTTTTAAAAAGTTTTATTTTATTGTTGTTGAGAATATACACAGCAAAACATACACCAACTCAACAGTTTGTACATGAACAGTTCAGTGATATTAATTTCATTCTTTGAGCTGTGCAATCGTTCTCACCCTTCTTTTCTCAGTTGGGCCTTCCCCATTAACGTGAACTCATGCCCCCAAGTTTCCTATCTAATCTTTCCAGTTGCTGTTGTCAACTTGACCTCATATACATAGATCTTAACAGAGCACAATGCTCAAGGCAGGACATTCTTTACTAGTTGAGCTAAACTACTGTTTGGTTTTAAGAAGACTTCAGGGGATATTTTTGGTTTAAGGTTTTAAGATTATCTCAGAGCAATAGTTTCAGGGGTTCATCCAGCCTCCATGGCTCCAGGAAATCTGGATTCCATGAGAGTTTGAAATTCTCTTCTGCATTTCCCCCTTTTTGATCAGGATTCTTCTGTAGAGTCTTTGATCAAAATGTTCAGTAATGGTAGTCGGGTGCCATCTGGTTCTTCTGGTTCCATGGCAAGGGAGGCAGTTGTTCATGGAGGCAATTAGCCACACATTCCATTTCCTCCTCCTGTTCCTGACTCTCCTTCTTCCTCTGTTGCTTCAGTTGAATAGAGACCAATTGTTGTGCCTTGGATGGCCACGTGCAAGCTTCTGAGACCCCAGGCATTATGAAACCAGCTAGGAGGTAGAACAACAGAAGCACTAAACTCGTTATTAGGCCAGTGATTTGAGATGTCCCATGAAACCTCCAAACCAAGGAACCAAATCCCATGAGGTGTTTGGCTGTATATGAGCAGCCTCACTAGTTACTCTTTTTTTTTGTCATTGTTGTAAGTATGTCTGTTAGACAGCTTTTGCCATTTCAACTTTTTACAGGTGTACAACTTAATGACAACACTTACAATAATTGGCTGTGAAACTCTACCCTTAATCAATGAGATTTTTCTATCATCGTAAATCTTAACTCAGTACTCCATAAACAATAACTCTCCCCCCAACCTGGGTTCTGCCCAGTCCCACCCCTGGTAACCACTAATAAACTTTGGTCTCTATACATTTGCCTTTTCTTGTCTTTTATGTAAGTGAGATCATACACTATTTGTCCTTTTGTGATTGGCTTATTTTGCTCAGCATGATGTCTTCCAGCTCCATCCATATTGTAGCATGTATCAAGACTTCATTTCTCTTACTGGCTGAATAGTATCCCATTGTATATGTGTACCACATTTTGTTTATCCATTCATTTGTTGATGGGCATTTAGGTTGTTTCCACCTAAACAGATGAATTCATAGTGCTGCAATGAACACTGGTGTACAAGACCCTGTTTTCAAGTTTTTTGAGTATATACCTATGAGTGGAATTTGCTGGTATGTGGTTGTCCTATCTTTAGTTTTTTTGAGGAACCACCACACTATTTTTCACAAAGGCTGTACCATTTTGTATTCCCACCATCAGTAGATAATGGTTACAATTTCTCCACGTTCTTGCCAATATTTGTTATTTTCTGCCTTTTTTTTTTTTTTAAATCTTAGCCATCCTCCAAAAAAAGCAAACCCATTGCCATAGAGTCGATTCCGATTCATAGTGACACTGTGTGACAGAGTAGAACTGCCCCACAGGGTTTTCTTGGATGTAATCTTTACAGAAGCAGATAGTCAGGTCTTTCTCCTACAGAGCCACTGGTGGGTTTGGACTGCCAGCCTTCTGGTTAGCAGCCGAGCGCTTAACTGTTTGCACCACCAGGGCTCTTAGCCATCCTAGTGGGAGTGAAATGATATCTCATTGTGGTTTTGATTTGCATCTCTCTGATGGCTAAATGACCCTGAGCATCTTTTCATGTGTTTGGTGGCCATTTGAATGTCCCCTTTGGTGAAATATCTACTCAAGTCCTTTGGCCATTTTATGACTGGGTTATTTGTCTTTTTGTTGTTGTCAAAGTTATATATATAGGTTATTAGAGTCTTATCAGATATATGGTTTCCAAAAATATTTTCCCAGTTGGTAGCTTGTCTTTTCACTTTTTTTGTAAAGTCTTTTGAAGAATAAAAGTTTTTAATTTTTACGAAGGCCCATTTATTTATTTTGTCTTTTGCTGTTTGTGCTTCTGTTGTATTAGACAATTCATTATTAAAAGCTAGGCTCAACAGCGTTGGCCTGCATTTTCTTCTAAGAATATTATGGTTTTAGTTTGCACGTTTAGGTCCTTAACCTGTTTTGAATTTGTTTTTGTATATAGTATGAGGCATGGATCCTGTTTCATTTTTCTGCATGTGGAAATCCAGTTTTCCTTATACCATTTATTGAAGAGACTTTTCTTTCTCCATTGAATGCACTTAGCACCCTTGTCAAAAATCAGTTGACCGTAGATGTGTGGGTTTATTTCTGGACTCTCAATTCTATTCCATTGGTCTATGTGTTGTTGTAGAAAAACAACTTTCACCAAAGCCTTCGGCAACAAAGAGATTTTTATTGTGACATATCAGAAAACAAAGAAAGGAAATTGGCCACTAACGCTCAGGCTATAAACAGATCAAAATTCAACAAGTACAATCTATAAGCCCTTTTTATACAATTTTGACAGGTACTGATTCATTATGAGTAAATTACTTATAGACTATGTTTGGTTAAAGTAAAGACAAAGAACAAAGATCATGATTGGGTGAACTTTTCTTGTTTTTCTTTTCTAACAATTTGGTCTCTTGGCTCAGGAGTCTGTCATATGATGGTTGTTTTTTATTTGTTATATGGGCTATATATGGTATTGGATAGATCTTTAACTCACTTCCTGGGATAAATTGTTATTTAGTTTTTGGTGCACATGTCCACTGTCCATTGAACCGGTTAGAGCACTCTGTCCTGCTCCTTCGATGAAGTTTCCTATAGTTTTTAAGCTTTTCAGATTCTGACAAACAAGCTGGCCTTTTGTGGTTATGGCCTGCTGTGGTTAGGTTAACCCTTTATCAGTGCCTATTGTTATACCAGTACCAGGCTGTTTTGATCACTGTAGCCGTATAATGTTTTAAAATCAGTAAGTGTGATTCCTCCTACTTTCTTCCTGTCTTTCAACATTGCTTTAGTTATTCAGGGCCTCTTGTCATTCTCTGTAAAGTAGAGGATTGGTTTCTCCATTTTTGTAAAGAAAGCTGTTGGACTGTTCACTTTCTTGATGGTTTTATTTGAGGCACAAAAGTTTTCAATTTTAATGAAGTCCAGTTTATCTATTTTTTCTTTTGTTGTTTGTACTTTTAGTATTCTATCTAAGAAGGCTCTGCCTAACCCAAGATCATGAAGATTAGCTCCTTTGCCTTCTTCCATTTTAGCTTTTACATTTAGGTCTTTGATCCATTTTAAGTTAACTTTTTGTATATGGTGTGAAGTAGGCATCCAAATTTACTTTTTGCATGTGGATATCCAGTTGTTCCAACACCATTTGTTAAAAGACTGTTCTTTCCCCATAGCATTGTCTTGGCATCCTTGTCAAAAATCAGTTGACCATGATTGTAAAGATTCATTTCTGGATTCCCAATTTTATTCCATTGATTATATGTCTATTTTTATGCCAGGAGTCTTGATTACTCTAGCTTTGTAGTAAGATTTGAAATCAGGAAGTGTTATTATTTTTCAAGATTGTTTTGGCTTCCAAGATCCCTTGTGTTTCCATATGAATTTTAGCATCAGCTTGTTAATTTTTGCAAAAAAAAAGAAAATCTAGCTAAAATTTTGATATTGTGTTCAATCTGTAAACCTAATTGGGGAGTATTTCCATCTTAACAACATAAGTCTTCTGATCCATGAACATGGTATGCCTTTCCATTTATTTAGGTCTTTAAAATTTTTTTTAACAATGTTTTGTTGTTTTTAGTGTATGAGTCTTACACTTCTTTTGTTAAATTTATTCCTAAGTGTTTTTGTTAGTTTGTAAATGGAATTGTTTCATTAATTTCATTTTCAAATTGTTCATTCCTAGTGTTTAGAAATATAGTTTATTTTTGTAACTGATTTTGTATCATACAGTTTTGCTGGACTTCTTTATTAGTTCTAATAATTTTTTTTTGTGGATTCCTTAGAATTTTCTGTATGTACATTGCTATCTGCAAATAGAGATTATTTTTTCCTTTCCACATTGGATGCTTTGTTTTTTTTCCCCTTGCTTAATTGTCCTGGCTAGAATGTTGAGGAGACATACTGAGAGTGAACATTCTTATCTTGTTCTTGATCTTAGGCAGAGAGCGTTCAGTTTTTCAAAGTGTATCTTACCTGCTTTTAGAAGGTGTCATCTAAAAAATACTTTTGAAATTAAATTGAAAATAGTAAAACTTTTTTTGCTTACTTTGAAAAAGGAGGTTCAGATCAGTCTGATAAGACTTCTTTAATTGTGGATATAAAGTTCTTAAAGATTCTTCACACATGCTCACTGGTTGTAACGTTATTGATAACGTATGCTACAGTATGCTACAATAAGGGTACTAGAAGCATGTTCTCTGGAGTACAGGAGGAAAAGCAACAAAACCATGGAATCAGAGAAGGCTTTATAGAGAATGTGACAAAAGTCAATGGGACATTTTGAAGCTATGTACAGTACAGTGCACCTTGCAGATGTTCAATAAAGTAATTATTGATTAAAAAAATCTGGAATCTGTGGGTTTTGAGAGTGGGTGAAAGATTCTTAAGTATTTCATTTTTAAAAAGACAATGCATCCTCATTATGTAAAGTTTGGGGAAAAATCCATAGTTTTATCTCGTAATACACTATTTTAAATATTCATTTCAGTTTTCTTCCATATACAGAATGTATCTTTTTACTGTCATAGACTCTACATAGTTTTGTATCTTCCTTGTTTTATTTAATATTCATTTCCTAATAGTGATAAAGTCTTTATATTACAGAGTCATATGTGTAATTTTCCCTCAAGTGGATATATCATAATTTATTTAGTCATTGCCTTGTTTGGCATTTTGCCTCTTTCAGTGTTTTTCCCAAAGGCACTACTGACCATTTTTGTGCACATGGTTTTTTCCTTCTTTTGGATTATTATCTTACGGTAAATTTCCTAACAAGGAATAATCAGGCCCAAGATTTAAAACAAACAAACAAACCTGTTGCCATCAAATTGATTCCAACTCATAGTGACCCTATAGAACAGAGTAGAACTGCCCCATAGGGGTCTCCAAGGGTTGGCTGGTGGATTTGAACTGTTGACCTTTTGGTTACCAGCTGAGCTCTTAACCACTTTACTACCACAGCTCCAGGCTCAAGATGAGAACCATTTAATGACTGTTTATACATAGTCCCAACTTGATTTGCCAAAGGGTGTATTGATTCACATTGCCATCAACTGTGTCCATGTGTACTAATTTTAGCACAGTCTTTGTAGCTAATCTTTGTAGTTTATTTTTTTAAGCTCCCACAGACAGTGGAAATCAGATAAAAGCTTTAATTTATACTGATAACCAAAAACCTATTGCTGTCAAGTTGATGCCCACTCATAGTGACCTTATAGGACAGAGTAGAACTGCCCCATAGGGTTTCCAAGGAACTGCTGGTGGATTTGAACTGCCGACCTTTTGATTAGCAGCCAAGCTCTTAACCACTGCGCCACCAGGGCTCCAGTTTATACTAATACGCAATTAAAATTATCAATAAGATTTATACATACAACGATGTTGTTTTTGTTATGTGCCGTCGAGTCGGTTCCGACTCATAGGAACCCTATGTTCCTGTGAGAACAGAACGTCCTGCGCCATCCTCACAATCATTGCTATCTTTTAACCACTTTCCAGTGTTAGGGAAGGAATTCCAAACAGAACCCCAAGGTAATATGATGTTTTAAATTGCTAATAAGTGAAAGTGGTATAAGATTATTAAATCTGCATTTCTTTCATTATTTAATATGGTTAATTTATGGTATATGTCCGAATTAAGTTTAATTCTTTATATATTTAATCTGGAAAATTAATGGGCTTAATTAAAAATGTACCACATGTAAAAAAAATGCTTGACTCTTTTCCCGACAGCTTGCCGATGTTTACTGTGCTCCGGAAGTTTACCATTCCACTGACTTTGCTCCTGGAAACCATCATACTCAGGTGATTTTTTGTGCTTTTCCTTGATTCCTGCACTGTCCCCCTTCTCCTACCATTATTTTTACTCAAGGAGTTATTGCTATCTAATCAGCTTTCCAAATAGTTGATTTAAATTGCTCATTGCAATAACTTCAGGGCAAATGGTTTATTCACTTGAACACATTTGCCTGTTCAGGTGATTGCCTAAGAATTTTGAAAAATTATTTTTGCCTTCTCTTTAAGTTTTTTAAAATAGCTATTTCTTATTACAAACATGCTTTATATTTATTATAGAAAAATCATAAAGTTCAGATAACAAAATAGGAAAATAAAAACTACTGACAATTATATTGTGAACGAATAACCCTACTAAACGTTTTTGGCTATTTATTGATTTCCCTGAATATTCTGCCTAAAAGTTTGATGAGTAATTTTTAATTGCAATTTTACTTTAAATAGTTAGATAAAATAACTTACAAAAAAAAAAAAAAAGAAAAGAAAAGGGGGGAAAAAAACCAAGCCCCAGCCCAAAACAGATGGGAATCTGTTTTCTGAGCCAGATGGTATATACACTGATTTTGGAAAACAGAGGGAGAAGTTGTCCATGTGTACGTGTAGGAGTGCAGGAAATCAGAGAAATTGATTCTTATGCATTGATTATAATGTAATATTAGAATAAATAAATTTTTATATTTTTGGTATAACTTCTCATTAAGATACTCAGGCTGACATCCAAAAAGGTGATTCTTGATTTTGTGGTAAAGATTATTCAGCAGCAGTGAAATTTGTATGACGGCTCAATGTCTTAAACCCTCACATTGAATTTTATTTTCTATTTATGCATGCTCGTTATAAGTACAGATCAACTAGACCTACCAGTAGGAGCTCTTCTGTATTTGTCCCAGCGTCTTTCTAGTGAGAATGGAGAAATTGGTTTATGATGAGATTAAGAAAACTGCTTAAGGAAAAAAGTAAATTTCGTTTGATTACTAATCCACTTAGAAACCTTTAGTGCTTTCTCTATAAAGAGCATTGTCCCTTAGATTTTGGCTATAAGTGTTGACAGACAATGTCTATTTTTGGGTTTGTGTTTTGATTATAAGCCTTACTTTGGATTCTCTCTCCTCCCATCCTCCCCTTTCCTTTCTTACTGCTTGCTTTTTTTTTAAACAGGAAGCAGTATTCATTGAACATCACTGTCAGTGTCTTTGCCATCATTCTTGGTGCTTTTATAGCAGCTGGGTAAGACTGTGGACTGTTTCTGCTCAATGACTTCTTTGTGTCTTTTACAATAGGCTCAGCCCCATCCTCTGTTTTTCCATTTTCCATCTGGCTGCAGTTGAATTGAGCAGCCAAGAGACAAATCTGTTGAAGTTAGTGGAATCCTCAGTGTGCTCCTTGGAAAGTCAAACTGGGTTCCAAGTTGGCCAAAACGTTTCCAAGAATGTATGGAGCATTAAACCCAAACTAAACAAGTTGCTGTCAGTTTGACTCTGACTCATGGCGACCCCATGTGTGTCAGAGTAGAACTGCACTCCAGAGGGTTTTCAATGGCTGATTTTTCAGAAGTAGATCATGAGAGTTCTTCTGAGGTGCTTGTGGGTGGACTTGAACCACCAGCCTTTGCGTTAGCAGTTGAGCGTGTTAACTGTTTGCACCACCCGGGGACTCCAAAGACAGCATTATGATACATTAAAACAGCTTTTCTTCATAAAAGGGAGATAATTACTTACTTTTATTACTGAATGTTTGTCTTCAATTTAAAAATAAAAATTTTAATTTGAAAACCCTGTGGATCACAGTGGTTTGATCCACAGCCAATCATGGGGATGGCATAGGACTGAGCAGTGTTTCATTCCTTTGTGCATGGGGTCGCCATGACTTGGGGGCCAACTTGACAGCAGATAACATCAACAACAGCAGTAATACTCTAATGAGCTGAGAGGATGAATAGTGTTTCCAGAAGCATCTAACTCACCCCAGAGCCAGCTTGGAATAGTGATTCTCAACCTTCCCTTTCCTCCAGCACTCGGCAGAATGGATAACATCCCTGGGGTGACCTTCACAGTTCTTAGCTGCTGGCCACCTGTAACCCTTCCTTCTCTACTCTCCCTCAAATTAGTTCATCAAAATACAGTAGTTGAAGAACTGACTTGGTCAGATGAGCCAGTTTATGCTGTGGTAACAAACAACCCCCACATCCCGTTGTTTTAACGTAGCAAATTTATTCTGCACACGCTAAGCAGGCAAACCTATGTGGGCTAATGTTTGAGGGAGGGCTCTGCTCATGGCAGTTACTTAGAGACCAGGCTGATGGAGTGTGGCACCCCACTGAACCATTGGCAAGAGTGGCTCCAAGGGGCACAGGTTGGATTCCAGAAGAGGTGGAAAAAGCCAGGTTGATCAGATCTAGCTTTTATTAGGGAACTTACAGAGGTCAGTGCCAAGATTCCTGCAAAGGACAGCACTGAGTCACCCGGGTAGAAGTCTTTGCACAATTGTGAGGAGTCGGTGTTTATATACCTAGTGCTTATGTGCAAGGATATGTGCAGGGGAGTCAGGAAGAAACATGTCTAATCTGTGAGGGGTGGGGTTGTTTTTGTATTAGTTAAAAAAAAACAAACCAAACCCACTGCTGTCGAGTTGATTCCGACTCATAGTGACCCTATAGGACAGAGTAGAACTGCCCCATAGAGTTTCCGAGGAGCACCTAGAAGGTTCGAACTGCCAGCGTTTTTGGTTGGCAGCCGTAGCTCTTAACCACTACACCACCAGGGTTTCCAATTAGTGGATTTCAATTGATGTTATCATGAAGTTAAGTGTTGGGTGTGTTTTTCTGTTGGATCAAGTTACTTAGTCAGGTACTCTAGTTCTCTCTCAGAGTCCTTTGTGGGCAGGATCCATCTTGTATTGTTCAGGTTCCTCTCATAGAGTCTCTACCTCAAAAGGGGTTTCCTCAGTCATCCAGGCAGGAAAAGAGAATGTGGGGAATTGTACTCTGGTTCTTAAAGCTTTGGTCCAGAAGTGACATATGTCATTTCCTCTAACATTTTATCTGCCAAAGCAAGTCACATAGCCATTACTAGCTTTCAAAGGGGTGGGAAAGCGCAGTCCTACCATGTGGCTGGAAAAGACTGAATGTCTGTGAACAGCTCTAATGACAACTGTGAGGGGTAACCATGAATCTGCTCTAATATATAAAACAGATTGTCAGACATCTGTGCTTTTACTACTGCCCTAGACAAATTATATGTAAGATTTCTGACAGCTGACCAAGGCTTCCAGGGGTAGGAACACCTCTTGGAAACCCCTGGCCCCTAGAGTGGGAGACCTGAGAACTCTGGGAATTTCCCTCAAACTCCCTAAGGAAGTGAGCAGCCCTTTCTTCCCATTCCTCTGGAAGCCTGGTTGCCTGCCTTTTCCCCTTACTTTCTTTCTTCCTTCTCTTCCTCCCTCCATCTCCCTTCCTTCCTTTCTAATTGTGGTACAAATATACATAACAAAATATTTGCCACTTCAACATTTTTTGCATGTACAGTTCAGTGACATTGATTACAGTCATCATGTTGTACAAGCGTCACCACTCTCCTTTTCCAGTTTTCGCATCACTCTTAACAGAGACTTAGTGCCCCCTAGGCAGTGACCCTCCTTTCCCCTCTCCCCCTGCCCTTGGTAACCACTAATAACCTTTAGTCTCTGTACATTTGCCAATTCTAGATATTTCATATAAGTGGGATCATGCAATATTTGTCCTTTTGTGTCTGACTTCACTCAGCAGAATGTTTTCAAGGTTCATCCATGTTGTAGCATGCATCGGGACTTCGTTTCCCTTTATGGCTGAGTAATAGTTTATTATATGGATATACGGAGCCCTGGTGGTGCAGTGGTTAAGAGCTACAGCAGCAAACTAAAAGGTCGGCCATTGGAATCCACCAGCTGCTCTTTGGAAACCCTATGGGCCAGTTCTACTCTGTCTATAGGGTTGCTATGAGTTGAAATCAATTTGACGGCAGTGGGTTTGTTTTTTTTTTGATTTATGTGGATATACAACATTTTGTTTATCCATTTATCTGTTAATTTCCACCTTTTGGCCTCTTCTACACATTAAACTTTGCTGTTTCAGGGAATGGCAAACTCTTCTTAACACTGAATCAAATGTGGATGGGCAAGAGAATGGAAGACCCTTATTTTGAGAAAATCAATTTTTGTGATTGAGCTGGAGAATTCTGGTTTGTAATGAATCTAAAATTAATTTATATTCTCACAAATATATTTGTAGATAATAATACTGGTGAAAACATTAGGCAAAATCTGATTCACCTTGAGTTCAGATTTTGATGTAATTTTTGTGTATGTTGTTAAAACCAAAAAATCAAACCCATTGCTGTTGAGTTGATTCCAACTCATAGCGACCTTGTAGGACAGAGTAGAACTGCCCCATAGGGTTCCCAAGGAGCAGCTGGTGGATTTGAACTGCCGACCTTTTGGTTAGCAGCTGAGCTTTTAACCACTGTGCCACCAGGGCTCCACTGTCTATTGTTAGGGAAATATAATTAAAAACAAAATCTACTCCCAACCTAGAAAACTTCTCCTCAGAGGTAGCAGAGAAAGAAAACAATTTTATTATTATACATTAAACCAGAGTGCGATGCAGCAGAGACAGTTTGCTAAAGATATTGCAAAGACAGAAATCATAGTTTTATATAGCTAAGTGGATACAACTCATGCATTTATGTTTTCAAGGTCAAATTGCTAACTTTCTCAGATCTTTACAGCTGAAGGTAGGCTTTGCAGTTTGGAGTCAGGTGACAGCTAAAATTAGGCCTATCCTCTCCTAGGAAACTGGGAGATAGGGCCATATCTTCCTCCATGATACATTTCAAAGAAATGGCTCCCAGGTCCTTGAGGAAACACTCCTGAGTTGTGAGAGTGGCAAGAGGCTTATTTAACATTTGACCTTGTTGTCATTGTTGTTAGCTGCTGTAGAGCCACCTGGACTCATGGTGACCCCAAGCACAATGGAACAAAACACTGCCCAGTCCTACACCATTCCCATGACCTACCCTTTGCATATCAGACCATTGTGATCCATAGGGTTTTCATTATCTGATTTTCTGAAGTAGATAGCCAGGCCTTTCTTCCTAATCTGTCTTTGTCTGGAAGCGCCATTGAAACCTGTTCAGCATCATAGCAACACGCAAGCCTCCACTGACAGATGGGTGGTGGCTGCTCATGTGGTGCATTGGCCTGGAATCAAACCCAGGTCTCCTACATGGAAGGCAAGAATTCTACCACTATTTGATCTTACACTGTATCTATATCTATTTCTTTTTCTTTGATTCAAAGTAATCTTATTTAAATATGTATTTATGAATTGTGATATGGATCTGGTACTGTCTGCAAGGATCAAGTGCAGGTGGGCGAATCACATGGATTGCTCAGCTATTGTTCTCTCTCCTCTCTATGCCATGTTCCGCAAACATCTTCATACTGATGTTATTTATTTAAAATTGAAATTGAAGAGAAGACATCTCCCAAGATGAGACCCTTTAAGGAGTTGCCCAGGAAAAGGAATAAATGCCCTTCTTACCTTTTTGATGGACAGAGCTGTATGGTGTGACTGTGCACCAGATGGAAGTGTCAATTTCTCATTAAACCCCTCTCCCCCAGCCACCGCCAAGCTGCCCACTCTCACAGCTGTCCCCACATTGGCAGTACCCTGGGGATGGCCCTGTTTACTGCAACAAGCACAGCCACTGGGGGGGGGGGTTGGACTAATCATCCCCCTTAGAAAAGTCAGTGGTCGCCAATTATGATGCCAATTTATCAGTTAGCAAAAGAAGGGGTTTTGCAGTTAAAGGAAGACGGGTAATGTCCCTCTGGTTTTAAGCCATTCATGAGTAAGTTGAAGCTACCTGATCCATCTGGTTTTGTTTTTGTCTGGAGGCAAAGCAGAGCAGTTAACCATTCATTACTAAAGAGAGTAGGCCAAGTAGGAAATTGTGTCATAGAAAAGGGAGTTGCTAGCCTCACAAATGGCTTTGATCAGGGAAAAGTAAACCAGGCAGGCTTTGAGAGTGGGTAGTTTCTAAATAACCAACCCTCCTTTTGTGTTCTGCCTGACAGCTCTGACCTTGCTTTTAACTTGGAAGGCTATATTTTTGTGTTCCTGAATGATATCTTCACAGCCGCAAATGGAGTTTATACCAAACAGAAAATGGACCCAAAGGTATCAGACCCTCCCTCTACGGCTTTTACCCATATAATCTGGCCTCTGAAATTACATGACAAAAGAAAACAAACTTGTGAAGTTGGCATACAATTTAATTTATGTGACAGGATCTATAAATTACCGATTTTTAGAAATTGTTTTGTCTGTGTAAAGTCTTCTTACTCTTAATCTTGCAAAATTTTGGGCTGAAATTAGATTAGGAGGGAAGGGGTACTACTATTTTAGATAGAAAGTGAGAATATATAAAAAGGGCATTCTTTCTTTTGAAAGGCAGTAACTTTTTTTTTTTTTTTACTGCAACCGTCACCATTATTTATTTCCAAAACTTTTCCATCACTCCAAACAGAAACTCTGTACCCATGAAGTAATAATACCTCTCCATTCCCTCCTCTCCCCAGCCCGTGGTAACCACTAACTGTGTTGCTATCCAGTCGATCCTGACTCACAGTGACGCTATCAGGCAGAATAGAACCGCCGCACAGGGTTTCCAAGGCTGTAATCTTTATGGAAGCAGACTGTCACGTCTTTCTCCCAAGGAGCAGGTGGTGGGTTCAAACCACCAACCGTTCGGTTCGCAGCCGAGTGCTTAACCACAGCCCCACCAGGGCTCCTACTGGTAACCACTAGGCAGTAACTATGCTTAAAATTGAAAGGTTTCTTTTTTTTTTTTTTAACCATCATCTTCAATGACCATGGGGCAGTCAGGGGTAGTGGTATTCTGAGAGCAATTCTAGTTTGAGAGACTGGAGATGTGGGTTGTAGGCATGAGTTTTGCCACTTACTAGCTGTTGTGACTTTGGACCTGAATGTCTTTAACACTCCATTTCCTCATCTTCGGAATGAGATAGTTGGAATGGATAATTTGTAAGGTCCTGCCCAGCACTAACCTTCTATGCTTTGCCTGAAACTGCTGCCTTTCCCGATCATGAGTGCCTGGTGGGTGGTGAGCTTTCCTTCCCCCTAAAAAAGCTATTGCCGTCGAGTTGATTCCCGATTTCATGCGGCTGTCTTTCGCCTAGAGGCTTCCAGCCCTTACCCCTACCCCAGCTGTTACCGGAAGCCCAGAAGGATGAACCAGGCATATGTTTCTTTGTTCCAGGATCTTATTTGTGTTCAGTGAGGGCTATGTTTGCGAGCTGTTTTTATCTGCACTGCTTTTTCCTCTGTGTGGCCGTTGCTTTGTAATAGTGGCAGGTTCACAAAACCAGGTTTGCCCCCTTTTGACAATCCCAATATGTCACCCTTTATTGAAACGAGTGGAGGAGGGGTGTAGCCACTTTAATAAAAAGTCAACATATGCAAGATTGGAAGATGAGAAGCCTGCTAGTCTTTAATGGAAACAACAGCTATTTTTAAGGCATTCTATTGATATTGACATTTTTAATGTCTTTATCTTGTTCTAGACATTCCATCTTGAATAACATGGCTTTTTAAAAACAACGAGATGTTAGGGATGCCTGGAACCTCGGAGGCCATCCATCTCCATCCATCTTTTCTGTAGAAAAGGAAGGTTTATTCTGAAATTATAGTATGCTTGAAATGAAGCATTTTATGTCAGAGATTTCCCCCAAATACTTCAATACAGCAACGTCTGAGTGACCAGAATGCGTATTCTAATGCTGCATAAATACGTAGCTGTATAAATGGCCCCAGGAAATCTGATGCTTCATATTTCTAAAACTGAGTGGGAGTTTTCTTTTTCTTCACAGGAACTGGGGAAATACGGTGTGCTTTTCTACAATGCCTGCTTTATGATTATCCCAACACTTGTTATTAGTGTCTCCACTGGGGACCTTCAACAGGTGAGCTGATTACAGTCCTCACATTCTTACTTAGCAGTGTTTTTAAATTTTAATATTTAACCTTTGATACTCACTGAAATAAGATGTGTAGAGGTAACCAGGGTTACTAGGAGTTGCATGAAAGCAAATGTTTGCTATCTTTCATAACATCTTGGGCAGGATTGCTTTGTAGGCAGGAGTCTCTAGACACATGCGAGTTAGCTAGAAGTAGTGATAAGAACTCTGGACTTCAAATTTTTTTGGAAAACAACAGTAACAATCTGAGTCTGAGTTCCAGTATCCACCTTTGCTGGGGTGGTGACCCTGGGAAAGCCACTTAGCTTAGAAGGAGATTTTCATAGTTTTTAACTAGATTTATATATTCATTTGTCCATCAGTCCGTCAGTCTGCCTGTTGGTCTGTCGGTCCACCCACCTATCCACCCACCTACCCATTCGTTTTTATTATGGACATTTTTAAACATATACAAAGTAGAAAGAATAATTTAATTAACTTCCATACACCCATCACCCAGCTTCAGCCCTTAAGAAATTTTGCCATTCTTGTTTCATCTATCCTTCATCTACCCCACTTTTTTTTTTGGGGGGGTGGTTGACGTATTTTAATGCAAATCCGAGACTTCATGTCATTTTGCCTTTAAATACTCCAGGATCTACATTTGAATTTTGAGAAGGTATTTTCCTTTCAGTACTTGCTCTGTTTACCTTGTCTACTCTTTGCTTGTGAGGGACAAATAAAATAGTAACTTAGTAATAAGATATTAGGCTCAGCTAGGGGGGCCTGCATTCCTAATCTCATACAAAGTGTGAATATTTACCCCATTGATTTCATCACTGGCCACCTTGAGTGTGTTTGGCCCTGCGGAGCTGATTTCTTCAGGATGTTGCCAGCTATACCGCTTCCAAGAATTTTGTCTGTGTCTTAGGGAGATGTTTGAGTTTATATGAGAAACTGTTCATAGGAGAAACTAGCCGCCAGGGGCAAAATCCTGGTTCAGCCGACTAATGTGGCATTGGCCAGGGATTGACCCTTTTGTAGCTGGATGGGCCAGAGGGTTGTCAGGGGTCCTGTGCAGCCTCTGTTTACCCACAGATGTGGTAGTATTTCAGTGTTTAACAAACAGCATGGCTGTGTTGGTTCATACCGGTTGAAAGTCAATTCGGTCTGTAACCCTTTCAGGGGACTGAATGAATTCGGAAGGCTGTGGGTGCCTGCAGACTTGTGGGGCCGACCTGAGTGGACCTAGTTTTTGGGGCTCTTGGTTCTTTCTCAAAGCTATGCTTTCTCTTTTGTACAGTCCCTGACAGAGAATGAGGGAACATTGGAAGGGCTTAGCAGCCACATCCCCAGGGTGTAAACAGCCATTGATTGGCATGTATTTTTGTTCAAAACAACCAAGAAACACCAGTTGTGATGAAGAGCTTCCTGATTGGGGTTAATTACATTTGGAATACTGGCTGTGTGTGACTCTTGACCTTCACTACTGGAAGACAGAGCAAGTACATGACGTCTCTAGCAATAACGAGCAGGCCAAGATATCTGAAAACTATTGTTTTTTCTTCCATCTACCATCAGTTGATTTTAAACCAATTTGGTGTTAGCAATGTTACGCAAAACAAAATGAACTCATAATGAAATGGTCCTATTGGCTTGTCTCATTTCATTATCATAGAAGTGAGGTTTTTTTTTTTAAATCATTGAGGTTTATCTGTTCTGAAATTCTAGTGCTTTATAGCCGTTTCAAATTCATGTTTATTTCTAGAAATAGAAATCTAGAGACTCCTAGAATGCTCATTGGAGCAAAAGTGTATTTTGCCATAGGAACAATGTTATGAATGGTGTAGTGACCAGGAATGAATTTTGGTGCTTTCTGAGTCATATAGACTAGTTGTATCATGTTAATAATACATAACGTTGTTTCACTAGGAATATAGCATGTTCTCAGATCCAGATCATTGGCTTATAAACTTTTATAGCATGGTGTATTCAGAAGTGGCAACCTGCCTGTAATGAATTATCATGGAGAATTATTATACTTTCTCATGTGAGAATAATAAAAATAATAGCTAATATATTGAGGACGTGGAGCCCTGGTGGCACAGTGGTTGAGAGTTTGGCTGCTAACCAAAGGTCAGCAGTTAAATCCACCAGCCACTCCTTAGAAGCCCTATTGGGCAGTTCTACTCTGTCCTATAGGGTCACTATGAGTCGGAATCAACTCGACGGCAACAGGTTTGGCTTTGGTTATTGAGGTCTTACTGTGTCAGGCATTGTTTGAAGCAGTGTACATGCATTATCTTATTGCATTCTCACAGCAGTACTTAGAGGAGAAAAGACGACTAGTATCCCCATTTCACACATGCATAATCTAGGGCATAGTATTTAAATAACTTCCCAAGGAGGGTAGGTGATAGATCAGGCAGTCTTAGCTCTAGAAACACACCCTCCTCTCTAATCTCAATTATTTTATTTATGTATTTTAATTTTAATTAAAAATTTTTTTTCCCATACAAAAATTTATACATACATTGTTATGTGACTCTAATTACCCTCCCCAGACTGTGATAGCACACTCCTTTCCACCTCTGATTCCCCATGTCCATTCAACCAGCTCCTAACCCTCTCTGCCTTTTCGTCTCACCCCCAGACAGAAGCTGCCCGTTTAGTCTCTTGTATCTACTTGAGCTAAGAGGCACACTACTGACGAATATCACCTTATGTCCCACAGTCCAGTCCAATCCCTGTCTGAGGAGTTGGCCTTGGAAACTGTTTTAGTTCTGGGCTGATAGAGAATCTAGGGGCCATGCTTTCCAGGATACCTCCAGTCTCAGTCAGGCCATTAAGTTTGGTCTTCTTACTAGAATTTGAGTTCTGCACCCTACCTTTCTCCTGCTCCATCCGGGACTGTCTGTTGTGTTCCCTGTCAGGGTGGTCATTGGTGGTAGCCAGGCACCATCTATTTCTTCTGGTCTCAGGCTGATGAAGTCTCAGGTTTATGTGGTCCTTTCTGTCTCTTGGGCTACTACTTTCCTTGTGTCTTTGGTGCTCTTCATTCTCCTTTACTCCAGGTGGTTGGGACCAATTGATGCATCTTAGATGGCTGCCTGCATGCTTTCAGACCCCAGAAACCACTCACCAAAGTAAGATGCAGAACAGTTTCTTAAGAATCTTTGTTATGCCAATTGACCTCGATGTCCCCTGAAAGCATGGTCCCCAAACCCCTACCCCTGCTACTCTGTCCCTCAAAGTGTTTGATTGTATTCAGGAAACTTCTTAGCTTTGGTTTAGTCCAGTTGTGCTGACTTCCCCTGTAGTGAGTGCTGTCCTTCCTTTCATCTAAGATAATTCTTATCTACTATCTAGTTAGTAAATAACCCTGCCCCTCCCTCCCCACCCTTGTAACCATCAAAGAATGTTTTCTTCTGTGTTTAAACCTTTTCTTGAGTCCTTATAATAGTGGTCTTATACAATATTTGTCCTTCTGTGACTGACTAAATTCACTCAGCATAATGACCTCCAGCTTCCTCCATGTTACAAGATGTTTCACGGCTTCATTGTTGTTCTTTATTGTTGCCTAGCATTCCATTGTGTGGATATACCATAATTTGTTTGTCCGTTGATGGGCACCTAGGTTGTTTCCATCTTTCTGCTATTGTGAACAGTGCTGCAATGAACATGAGTGTGCATATATCTATTCGTGTGACGGCTCTTATTTCTCTAGGATATATTCCGAGGAACAGGATAGCTGGATCATATGATACATCTATTTCTAGCTTTTTAAGGAAGTGCCAAATCAATTTCCAAAGTGGTTGTACCATTTTTCATTCCCACCAACAGAGTAGAAGTGTTCCAGTCTCTCTACAACCTCTCCAGCATTTATTATTTTGTGTTTTTTGGATTAATGCTGGCCTTGTTGGGATGAATGATATCTCATTGTAGTTTTGATCTGTATTTCTCTAATGGCTGATGATTGTGAGCATTTCTTCATGTGTCTGTTAGCCGCCTGAATATCTTCTTTGGTGAAGTGCCTGTTCATATCCTTTTCCCATTTTTTTTTCGATTATTTTATTTATTTTTGAAAAATGTGCTTGTGTGTTTTTTTCTTTCACATATGAAATGAAAAATCATGCATAGCCTTCCACTTAACATCTTGGAAAGTATAAGAGACCTAACTTATACTTTAATTTATGAAATCCTGGTGTTTTAGGAGAATACTGTGCTTGTATTCTGGATTGAAGGTGCTGGACTAACCCAGTCTACCCTCTTCCATTTGACTAGATTCCCAAGATTTCAAACAGAAGTTTCTTTAAGTTCCTTAGAGCTCCTTGCATGATTACTATTCACTGTAATTCCAGATGGATCAAAGAACTAAATATATAGGTTTATTTTTTAAAATCTGTAAGAAAAATTATGATTAGAAAAAACAAGAATATATTAATAACAGTAAAAGAAGTCCTTCTGTAAAAAGATACAAAGTCATAAAGTGAAAAATTTGACTATATTTTAATATAAACTGTTGTATGACAAAGAATGCCAAAAGATATGGGACAAACACTTACTTGCAATAAGTAAGAAAAAGGCAAACATACTGTAGGAAAAATGGTGCACTCTTCACTGCTAACAGTGATCTGCTGTGTGTTCCTTGAAATCAGGATGATCTCCTTCCAAATGATCACTTTTAACCATGGCTGAGTCCATTTTAGTTTGTGACGCAAATACAATAAAGAAGAAATTTGTAGAATTAGGTGCTAGATGGCAATATAAAATTGCATTTGATTTTCCAAGTTTGATTTGATTGATGAATTAGAGCAAAATGTTAACTTCTCTTGTAGCTGGAGGAATAATTTGACGAGTCATTTTTCCTGGTTGACTGGGACTAGCAGAGATGGAGTGGATCAGAGACTATGGTGAAACTTGTGTGCGTGACTCACTGCATCGGGAGCTCCCTTGGACCTTGGACTGTACGCAGTGTATCTTATTAGCAGGACCTTAGTTCTATC